CTGAGTGCATTGTGTGTATAGCAGTTCTCCTTCGAGCGACTTCTTTTTGTGAAAAACGGTCGTCTGTTCTGATGGGCAGTCTGATCACCATTCATCCGTAGACCCACGAGCCCTTCACATGGTTGCATAAGGCTGTCTTTATTCAACACGAATAGGGAAACATAAATCCCGGAAGTCATTTTACTGACTCTATCAGTTTAGTGAATTGGTAGAATTAGTTTTACAACAAACGACTAAGGTAAGGCACTGGCAATCCCCATCATCCTCGACTGAAGAGGTTATAGAGTCTGTTGTCCACAGTCTGACTAAGGGTGAAACGGTTACCTCAGTGAGTCATTCATTTTGTTTCTCTGACTTTATGACGGGTAATCAAATTATGTTTGGTTTTTCAAATGCCACGACTCGACTGATAGCCTATCGGTGTGTCAGACAGCACACCAAGGTTCCAGTAGACGAAGTTCGTGCAACCAGCGTTCTGACTTAACCCAATTCTGTGATTGTTACCCTGTGTTGGCGTTTTGCCAGACACATCGGTTGATCAAACGTGTCCATATGATGGTTCGGACACTTGCATCTAGTGCATGGCATTTTCAAAAATTGAGTTTGCATTGTATGAACTCGTCTATCTATCTGTCTGCGGCTATTTCTTTCTTGAGCTCTAGACAAAACACTTCATTTTATTACCTCTCACTTTTTGTTCCGTCTCACAACATGCCATGGCAAAATTTCAGTAAAGCATACGGTATTATGGTCCCATGGAAAAGAAATTTATGACTTTGAGACAGCTTCCTCGGACTAATACAATCATATTAAAAAGCCTGTTTGGTTGAGTTTCACAGTCTATATTTGATTCGTTAATGTTGATGGTTTGTGTTTGAGAAAAAGGAATATATGATTCAACAAGCAAGCCGCATCAGGTCCTGTTACCTTGTATTTGAGTAGAAGGGTCTTGCCTATCACAGGGTTTAGTATCCGGTTTTTGGGGCAAGACAAGGGGAGTGGTAGCACGAATCGCTCCCGAGAGCAAAGCGATGGATTGGGTAATTGAACTACTCCCACTTCAGCTTTTTTATCGTGCTCAGTGGTTCTTTGTAGATGATTCTGAATTTGTAGTTGTCTACCAAGTATTTGGTGCCCGCAAGGTGTGCATTTGACATTCAAATTTGGGACACTAATTTGTTGGGTTAAATGCATTACTCTCTTCTCTGAATGAAGACTGCTCGCGTGTGGACAACTGGAATTGTCATTGATGAAAGGGTTATTCTGTACGGACAAGCAGCTGAACGGAATTCGTTTAGTTCTTTCCGAATCACTTTGTGTTCATGAACTTTATCTCAGGTTATGATAATCTTGGGATGTAAATGACTACTTATCGCTTGCATTCCCTTTTAACACACAAGCTCTATGTCGTTTTCTTTCAAAATGCGTTTCACTCTGCCATAGTTTCAGACTGTTTATCAAGCAAATGAACCTTTGGGGATTGAAAGTTTGTCCAGTGTTTTCTCTTGGGTGCATTACTTCCAGGTCACCAAGTCAACGGTGATTTTATTAGAGTGTCACAATCGAATCCCCCGGCTACCCAAAGCTTTTTCCACTAGGCAGCAGGGCGGTGTATGAAAACCTTAGTTCACTGGGGACCGTTCGAAGGTCAGACGAATCCCACGCTATTCGGACTTTGTTCAAGCATCCACGGTATCTAACACATCATAACACCCGCACCAGCCAGTGCATTTCACTAACATGGTATGTTGGATCCGGTTCGGGTTCGGGATCAGGGATTTTCAACTGGTCGATATCAGTGGGCTGCTAATGGCTTATCAATCAGTTTGTATTCCCAGATGTTGGCTTTTTGACCCCAATCTAATCGAAACTTGTTTGCTGCGAGAAGACGCTTTGTCGGGTGTTCCTAACGGATGCTTTTGGACGCGCATTCGGTGAGAAAATTTCTCACGGCGATAAAGTAACCTCATCCGTGTGAGGGCTTTCAGAGGGCTCCTAGACTGATTTCCCTTACCCGACTTGTCTTTTCGAGCGTATGAACGGGTACTATTCGTACAGCTGTGACTTTGCATTCCATTCGATCGTTCGATTTCCTCCTGCATCACTCCATATTCCAGGGTCAATGCATGCCAAATTTCAAAAACAACAGTTGGACCTTTTGTTCGTTGGTCGTAGCTACTCTGATCGTCTGATCGAATGGCACATCCGTAATCGTAAAACTGAAGAAGTGCGGTTTCCTCCGAACACTCAAGCCCTGCCCTTGATGCTGATATGGTACTTGAAAACATCATCTATTCTCCGTCCACCGGACTTCGGACACGAGGTTTGACCGTGGTGTGTGCGTGTGATTTTTTGAGCTCGTCGGCCGTGCGCACACTGCGCTCACGTGACAGTTGCGAGGGCCACGTAACCTCAGGTCACATACAATCATGTCACATGATTATGCGAGTGTGTGCTATTCACGTTCACCACGAAGACTGCGGATGGGATCTGGACCGACCCGTTCATTCTGACAGTCAAGGATTAAACTATTGTGATCGTTCAACCACTGAACTGTATGCGAGGTACAAAGAGGTATCCTCTCAACGTAAACCTGGGGATCAGTTAAAATGGACCTTGGTAGGCCTTATTCCATGGCCGTTATATGGCATGGTCCACGGATGTTGTAAAGCAGATCAGTCTGTTTTTCAGTCATTCACTTTACTCTATGTGACTCAAACTGGAGGGCATACAATCTGTGACGTATTTCGGGTGTTTTATACTGCTCCATCTGGTGGTTGTATGTTCTATGCAAATGGCATACATCCTTTTAACCTATCAGTTGCCACATTACATTGTTAATAAACGACTGAATGATCTCTTGGAGCACGTTTCACTCTTCCCAATTACTTAAAGCCTTTCAATCATGCCAAGCGATTCGTGTTTATGGGAATCAACGTAACTTATCGTGCCTGATTTTGATTGGCCTAGGCTTACCTGTTTGAACTAAAGTGTCCTCTGCATGTGCTTTAGCACTATAGAACAGTCAGAAAATGTACACTCTCCAGAGCTATCAACAGGGCGGCCATGACTACATGTTTCCCCGGCTTAGTTTTCAAAAAGCACCTGAAATTAGTGCGTTGTTGTTGATGCAAAACTTTTCGCCAAAAAATCCTGAATAGATCGCACAGAGAGCCTGTAGTTATGGATGAGAAGCCACTTTGCAATACTTTCACCTACTAAAAGAGACGTTTCACTTATCATCAGTATCATGGTTTCTCCTCGAAGAAGCGTTTCAAAGGAATTTCGCATGGAGATGACCGCGTCTGCCCCATTTGGTGTGGATCATCAGCTGTTTTACCCGTGTCATCAAAATCGTTTCAGACCATACACCGATGTATTCAATTTCTTATGAATTTGTTTCTGTCTTTGAACTTCCGAATCCGTCTGATATCGACTAACCCGGTCATTGAGCTCATAAACTCTTATCTGGCCACATCGATCACGACCCATTGTGCTGCAAAAAGTGCTGACTCTAGGAATTTTACGCACCTTTTGGTTGGTTTGGTTTTCAGCTAACGACCCTCAGTGAACTATCAGTCATTCACCGACCCGGTTATAGCCTTGAATGCTGACTTTTAGGCCTCCCCCTTTGTTGAGAAAACACTTCTCCCTCGAGAAGGCAGTGGGTGGGGTTTCTCAGCAGAGGCTATTTGAGGCGCTTCATCGTATGGGAGTATTTAGTGAGTTGCAAGGGAGCGGTGATCAGTCACAACTCAAGACACCCATTCCCGATCATACTAAGGCTTTCGGAGGCATTGTACATTATTATCACCGGTCTCGTTGTCCCAATGGTTAAGTATCCTCGGAGTTTGTAGATAGCATCCCACACATCTAATACAAATTCTTTTCGCGAAATGTTTCCTCATTACCTAGAGTCAATCTGAATAAAACTCCCCGAAAGGATAATAATGTGTTGTTGTGGTTCAGCTGCAACGTATAGGCAGAAGCAGGCCTGACTCCTTAACTGTTCTGGTGTTGAGCTGTGAGTGCACTTGCCGTTAGATATCAGTAAAATGTCGTTAGTGTGATTTTCTCTCTAATTTAATCGCATCGTGTTTACGTACAAGAGATAAGTGAGTTGCCTATCAAACACGCACCTACGCAAACCACCGAGTCGTCCGTCACCGGACGATCGAACTGCAAACAGGCAACAAGCATTTGAGTCATCGGTGAGTCATCATTTGTGTATTGGCTTGGGTCATGTCATTGTCTGGGGACCTGAATTGGGGATAAGCGAATGCGCAGCTCGATCTCCTCTGTCCCGATCTACATTGCGCGTCAGCAAATCGGATTCTACTCACCGTCGAACTTCCTCGTGGATATGAAAAGTAGGAGAGAGACAGGCACGAACCACCAAAACCAGTAGTATCAGGTCAACTATGACCACGAATCTAAATAGACTTATATGTAGAAGCTGTTTGAGACGCTTGGTCGTATAGAAGCATTTTGTGGGGTACAAGGGAACAATGACCAGCCACACCCCAATACATCTACCCCCGCGACCATACTCTGGCTTTCGAAGGTGCTAACCTGAATTGTTGTTGTTCTTTGCGTTCTATTTTGTCGGTTCAGTTTCACTAGCTGCACCTCGTTGGATTCGCTTGTTCTGCTGTTTAATGTGTAATCCTAATTATTGCTCAATCGAAAACGCCCGTGAATGTCTTCAACTTTTGTTGAACGAAGCTTTTTGGCATATTGTTTTGCCACGAAGTTGTGTATTGTTCAACTCAAATATAAAGAAGCCTTTTCTGGAGTCTCATGAATTGTGATTCTCCGATAATGTGTTGCGTGGATCTTCTTCTTGATCGTTCTCATGCGACTGTGTCAAATTCATCCCTTCATCAAGTAAGCTGAACAGTCTCCCTGCGCTTAGTCATAACCTGCTTGTGCTGGTCCTGTGCTGCCTCAGTTGTTATGGTAATCTTCATTTTGAGTCTTCTGTAAAACATTCATTCCCCTCCGTTCTAGAGGATAACCGTTCTGTCAACTGACTGTGCTGGGTCGACTGTCGTTCCATTTTTGTGTCATTTTGGTCATTGTGTCCTTATTCCCCTGGTCCATTGTGGCTCTGATGCACACGGGATCAGCTAGGCTGTTATGTGACTGAATAGTTTAGTCGTTTTGATTAGCAGAAGACAGAAATATCTTAACCTCGATCACCTGGGCACAGCACTGTGAGGGGCTGTCAACGCACACAAATTGGCCGAACAGTCAGAGTTACGTATGAACTCAAACATTTCCTATTGACACAGACCACAGGAATTGGTACTGGTGTTATAATTCCAGAAGGCAGTGCCCGTTCGAGGAAAGTTGTTTATTACGAATAACGATCACGGTATCAGTAAATTGTCATTCATA